GGCTGGTGGGTTTGAACCGCCAGCCTTCTGGTTAGCAGTCAAGTGCCTTAGGCACTACGCCACCAGAGCTCCTGCTTATTTAGCCACAATAATAGACTCAAACATGCTGATGATCGTGAAGGTGGTGCAGGCCCCGGCCACATTTCCTTCTGTTGTGCATGGGGTCATCGTGAGTTGAAGCACACTTGAAAGCAACTAACAGCAACAACAAAGGAACATGAGGCGTGAGTCCCTGTGTGGTGCAAACGTTAATACACTTGGCTGCTAACTGGAAGGTTGGAGGCTTGAGTCCACTCACAGAGCCTTGAAAGAAAGGCCTGGCAATCTACTTAAAAAAAAAAATCAGCTACTGCAAACCCTGTGGAGATTGAAGAATCGAACCTGAGCGTTCCTGAACTGCACTGTAACCTGCTGCTTCCCTAATAAACCCCGTAAGTGTGAAAAACAAAGAAAAGAAAAGCCTACGCAGTTCCCCTGTGACACGCCTGGGGCAGACCTGTCAATTTGATGGCGACTGGTTAAGGAACATTTGCTCTGAAACCTGGCTTTTTGCTTCTTCCTACCTCATCCCACCCTCTGCTGTTCCACCCCTGTGGTTGGGGGTGCGTGCGTGTGCACACGTGCCTGTCCAATGCCTGGAGTCAGCATGAGCACTGAGCTGTGCACACGAAGCAAGGTCACGTCTAAAGGAGGGAGGAGGTGGATGACCAGTGGGGGGCCCTGTCCTCCTGCTGGGTGAAAACCCAGGATGCTTCTGCCCACCTGGAGCTCACAGTCTTACTAACAAAATTTGTTACCAAACGTGTAATTCCAATTTTGTTTCAACTTCTGTTGTAACAAATGACCACACATTTAGTGGCTTAAGAGGGACCTCTGTGGGAACAAAGGTTAAGTGCTTGGCTACTAACTAGTCTGGGGTTTGAACATGCTCAGTGGCTGCGTGGGAGAGAAGAGCAGGCGAGCTGCTCTCCTAAAGATGATAGCCTAGAAAACTCAAACGGGCTGTTCCTCTCTGCCACATGGGTCGTCACGAGCAGGAATGGACTTGACAGCACCTAACAGCAATAAGCAACTTAAGCCAACACAAACTTTATATAGTGAAGTAAGGGAGCTCTTGGCGCGCCGTGTACACATTCCTGCCTGGAGCTGTTCTGGAAGTTTCTGTGTCGGACCCCTCCATGGCCACTCTGAGGAGTGGCCATCCCTGTTCTGCTTTTCTCCTAGCACCATCTTACTCTATCACATGATGGCCTGGGGCCTGGCTGCCGTGCTCTGCGTGGAAGGAGGGGTCATGCTCTACCATCCCTCCCTGTCCAGGTAAGGCAGGGCTCCTTCCAGCCAGGGGCCCCAGCTCCCTGAGCAGTACAGGTGCTCCTGGCAGAAAATGAGGGGTCATGAGCCATACAGTGGCCTCTGTGGAGGCCAGGCCATGGCCACGGCGGTGCTACTGGAACAAGGGATCCACACACTGCGTGGCCTCTGGGAGCTGCACCCCCTTATGCCTGCTGTTGGAATGGGGCTCACCCCCACCTCTCTCTTCCATGTGTGGGTGGGGAGGTGCCTATGCACACCGAGCGGTACAGAGGGAGCTTTAGCTCCCTCCCGTTCCCCGCCACACACAGCTTTCTCACGCCCACTCTCTAGTTCTTCAAACCGGTTTCCTCTGGATGAGCAGGTGAGTTTACATTTGAAGAATGAATTGGAGATGAAGTGGAGCAAGCTAGGAGGAGCTGTGTTGTTGTTGTTGTTGTTATGTGCCATAGAGTCAGATCTGACTCATAGCGACTCCTCCTTGGGTTTCTGAGGCAGTATCACTATGGAAGTAGATTGCCCCATCTTCTTTCTGAGGAGTAGCTGGTGGGTTTGAACCGCCAGCCTTTCTGGTTAGCAGTCAAGTGCCTTAGGCACTATGTTACCAGAGCTCCTCCAGAACTCCTTAGGTGGGGTTACTCCTGTACCTCCTCTTGCTACGTTTTCTCACTTCTCTTCCATCCTGTCTTCTCGGCCATCCTGACCACACATTCAAGAGAAGTAGCCTATGAAACCGTTGCATGGATTTCCAGTTTAAAATCCCAGAAATGCCACTATTAGCAAAGCCTCAAGTTACTTCTAAGGAGGAGAACGCCACCTTCTGGTGGAAAACAGAGGTAGACTGTGTCTCTGTGATTTTAGGACTGTTTAGACAAGGGATGGTGGTGCAGTGGTTAGATACACGGCTGCTAGCCAAAAGGTCCATGGTTTGAACACACCCAGTGGCTCCATGGTGGAAAGACCTGGTGGTTTGCTTCTGTAAAGATTACAGCCTTGGAATTCCTATAGGGCAGTTCTACTCTGTCCTCTTGGGCTGCTATGAGTTGGAGTCGACTGGACAGCATCTGGTTTTTCAGACCCGGGATCAGAAAGTACAACCCTCAAGACAAATCTGACGTGCTACTTGTTTTTGTAAATAAAGTTTTATTGGTACACAGCCACTCCTCTTTGTTTATGTGTCCTCTGTTACTGCTTTCATGCTGCAACAGAAGAGTGGAGTAGTTGAGACAGAGATTGCATGGGCTCAGAAGCATAACATGTTTACTGTCTGACCCTTTACAGACAATGCTTGCTGACCCCTGATGTAGACCATTTCTTCTCTTTCTTTTTGACTCCATGTAACTACTCAGCTAGCTGGCTCCACATTGAGATTGACTTTGCCATCATGGCTCCTTGCAGAGAGCTCTGTGTCGATCCAAAGACTGGATTACCTAGGGGGGTTATAAAGACCAGAGTTGCTTCCCATCATTCTGGAAGCTAAAAATCCTAATCAGGGTCTAGGTCCTGTTCATGCTTTCCCTGTAGCTGGTCCTGGGCGTTCCTGGGGTCCTTGGCTTGTAGACCATCCTCCATGATGTTTTGCCCTATGTCTGCCTCTGTGTCTATTCTGCTCTGTTTATAAGACTCTACTCAGAAGGGATTAGGTTTGGGACCCACCCTACTCTGGAAGTCCTCATTAACATAACAAAAGAAACCCCCTCTTTCCAAACAGGGTCACATTCACAGGTACTACAGGGGTGGGACTTCAACCCCTATTTTGGGGAGCAGGATTCAATCCATGATACCCGTCCACTTTCCATTAGGGGGACAAATACAGTGTCAGTGTCCCCAGCTGTAATAATGGAAGGCACATCGGTTGAAAGGGAGTTTTTACCAATCACCTTCACCTTGGGCTCCAGGCGAGGAGCCACCATCAGAGGTGAGTGCTTTGCAAGGACTGGATTGGCCAGGCTCTACCCCTAGGAAGTGCTCAGATCCTAACGGTTCACTGAGTGCTTTGGTCTCTCCTTGAATTGGGTGTCTTTTCCTTGACAAGACTCAGTATGAGAAAGTCCACCATGCCAGCAGGTCTTTTCCTTTCCTTTCTTTACCCAGTGGACACCTTTGTAAGCTCCCGTCAGGGAATAACTTGGAGGCCCTCCCGTTTCGAGGCATGACTGATTTCCCTTATTCTCCTGCAATGTCTGGCTTGTTCTCAGACAGGAGAAATGAGTCAGATTTCCTCTTCACAGAGTCAGAAGGATTCGTGCATTTCCCTTTCCACCCCCATCTTCTTATCTCAGCTTCCAGATGAGCAGGCGCATTTCAGCCAAAGCTCTGCTTTTGAGAAGAATGATACGGTTCTCCTCTCGCAGGTGTGAGAAGGGTCTGGAGCACGCCATCCCCCACTACATCACCATGTACTTGCCGCTGATGCTCGTCCTGGTAGCCAACCCCATCCTGTTCCGGAAGACGGTGACTGCAGGTAACCCAGTTGCTACCGCCTTGATGCTGATTCATGGAGACTCCATGCCCATCAGAGTTGAACTGCACTCCAGCAGAGTTTTCAGTGGGTGATTTTTGACAAGATCTCCAGGTCTTTCTTCTGAGGCGCCTCTGGGTGGACTCGACCCACCAAACTCTCAGTTAACAGCCAAACACAGGAACCCTTTGCACCACTGAGGAATTCCAGCTGCAGGCAAGTCAGGGAAGTATTCTGAGTACACGGCCATGTGCATTCTCTGGGTACATGACCATGCCTTGGACTCGGATAATGAGCCAAAGTACCCTACACACTTGTGCCCCAGAACGATACATGTTAGCCTTCTGGAATTTTCCAGGACCACTGACCCCATTTACCACCCTCCAGAGGCAGATACAGAATACAATTAGAGAAAGGGAGTAGATTTAATAAAACAAAGTGAATAAGCCTATTTAGTCACGGGCTATCCAAGTTCTTTGCCAATATTTGTCCAAAGCCAGGACTAGTCCATCTTTCACTTCTGGGCTGGTATGGGTGGTCTTTGAAGTAGGAGCAGTAGACGCAGTGGGATGGGGAGCCCTGGGTTATAGACCCCATGACTCCCGTAATATACTTGGCCTATATCTCCCCTCAATAAAAGCATCCAGCTGTGGAGCAGGAAACAGGAGGTAGAACACAGGAAGTGGGTCAAGGCAATGGTCAGAGCTTTCTAAGAGGAATGCAGTGAGTCAGCCAAGGCAGGGAAATGCATTCTAGCCCTACTCCAGTCCCAGGGAAGGGGACCTGTAGCCTCATTGCCCGTTGGGTTGATTCGGACTCATAACGAGCCCACAGGACAGAGTAGAACTGCCCCCTATGGTTTCCTATGTTGTAATCTTTTACAGAAGCAGATTGCCACAAGTCTCTTTGTTGGAGCAGCTAGTGGGTTTGAACTGCTGACCTTTCAGTTAGCAGCCAAATGCTTAAACCACAGCGCCACCAGGGCTCTTTGGACTCTTGTAGCAAGTTCCTAATAATAGGAAACCATTGTACCTCTCTGAATCAGCCTTTTCATATATACATGTAAAAACAGTGTATTCTGTATATTTTTGTTCCATTAAATTTCATGAGAAATAGAAATTCTATTATATCAAACAAATGAAAATGAGTTATAGGAAAAGTTACTGGATAGAAATTCACTAAAAATGCTGACACTGAGTGGTTGTCTCTGGGTGGTGGGTCATTAATTTTTCTTCTCTAGGTTTTTGTTTATTTTCCAACTTCTCTGTAATGAGAAATTAAAATCTTTTCAATATTTTAAAATAGCAAGTGTGTATTACCTTTATAGTAGAGAAAACAAACCTTTGAAAATACAGTTTCTAAACTGGTGAAACATGAATAAAGTCTAGAGTTTAGTTAGTGGTGGTTCATGGTAGAATTCTCACCTTCCATTTGGGAGAGCGGAATTCAATTCCTGACCAATGCACTTGATGTGCGGCCACCACCTGTCTGTCAGTGGAAGTCTGCAAGTCTCTGTGATGCTGAATACGTTTCAGCAACGCTTTCAGACTGAGACAGGCTAGGACGAAAGGACTGGCCATCTACTTCTGACAAATCAGCCAATGGAAACCTTATGGATCACAACACTCCAATCCCACATAGTACATGGGATCAGCATGAATCAGGGACAACTCCACTGTTCATTTCCTACTTGTGATAAATATGCCATGATTATGAAAGGTGTTAACATTGGGGACAGCTAGGTAAAGGTACAGGAACACTGAAGGATCTTTGCAACACTTATGTAAATCTAAGTGAAAGCTTTAAAATGTTTATATTCTGTGTGGCTAATTGCCTCCATGAACAAGTGCCTCCTTTGCTGTGAGACCAGAAGAACTGGATGGTGCCCAGCTACCATTATTGAACATTTTGATCAAAGATTCTATAGAAGAATCCTGACCAAAAGGGGGCGGGGATACACAACAGAATTTTAAATTCTCATGGAATCTAGGCTTTCTGGATCCATGGAGGCTGGATGAACCCCTGAAACTACTGCCTAGAGATAATCTTTAAACTTTAAAGTCTTCTTAAAACCAAACAATAGTTTAGCTTAACTAGTGCAGAATGTCTGCCTTAGGGGGCAGTGAATTTATGTTAATGAGGGAGCAACAACTTGGAAAAGGACGATGAGAAGCACAAGTTGAAGAATGAAATCAGTGTCATTGACTTGTATGTGTAGAAATTGTTGAATTAGTGTATGTTCTGCTGTGTATATCTTCTCAACAACAACAAATACATATATGTTGTTGTTATATGCTGTCGAGTCGGCCCTGACTCATAGCGACCCCTCCTTGGGTTTCCGAGGCAGTATCACTACGGAAGTAGGATTGCCCAACCTTCCTTCCGA